GTCATAAATGTGAGTCAGTTGTCAAGCATCCGATGACCGTGGAGATGCTGCAGTGTGAAAAACCGGTCATAAGTCACTTTTTTCACTGCCGTTTTAACTTCAAACAGTCACTAAGCGATGTGTTGTAAGTGGAGGACTACATGTACTTGATTAACATGGGTAGTGTGATGACCCAGGGCGTGACACAAAGGCAACACCGTCACATAAGTAAGAAGAGTCCCTATATTATCTTCAACTTTGCCCCCAATGTTCAGGTTACCTTCGGCTGCAGAAAAACTCTCCCAGGAACTGGAAGAAATTCAGTCCAAAACAAGGTACATACAAACTGTAACTAAAAATCCAAACAAGCCAAGCTGAAGTAATTACCTTGACAGGGCAGAAGAAGGAATTTCAGACTTGAAAGCACAGCAAAACTCACACGGTTGGAAAAACTCCAGGAACACAGATAAGCCACAACGATACCAGATAATTCACAATTTGCTCCCAACAACTTTGCTGTGTGCAGCTTCCCTTTTTAAATCCCAGCTGCAGCTAATGAAGGGAATCAGGGCCCTTTCCTCCCCTGTAAGCCATGCAACTCATGCTTGCTCCCAGCAGCTGCCGCACTTAGCATGCATTTCTTTTAAACTCTCTTCCCTAAAGAAGGGAATCAGGGCCCTTTCCTCCCCCGTAAGCCACGCAACTCACGTTCCTCCCTCCATGCCCTAGGATGAAGAGGGGGTGGGCCTGGGTCTTCCTCCAAATTCCCTCTGCCTTGCTCTACCTCTTCCCTGCTCTGCCCATCCGGCCTTTGCCCTTCTCCATTTCTTCCCCAGCCAGTGGAGCCACATTCCCACTCCCTGTCAGCTGCCGACGGGAATCAGATTCCGACGGGAGCATGCCAGGTAGTCCTCAACCTATGGCCAATTATTTAGTGAGTGAAGTTACAATGGCACTAAAAAAGGGGGGGGGGGGCTTATGTCCATTTTTCACACATGACTGTCGTAACATCCTTGGGGGGTCACGAGCAAAATTCAGACAACTGGCATGTATCTATGACAGTTGCATGTCCCAAGATCGTGTGTTCCCTGTTTGTGACCTTCTGAGAAGTAAGTTATTCAGGGGAAAGCACCGAGCTTAGATAGCAGTCATTCATGGTTTATTCTTTGCTGGCACTGTGTGGCCTTTGAGGCAGGTCACACTGATCTTGCTTGCGAAATTGCCTAGATGTGTGGCACAACTGCAGAGGGAGATTGGCACGTGCAGGTTGGCCCACGTTGAACCTGGCAATTGAGGTGGCTAAGGAGAATTTGACAGATTAACCGAGTTGGAAGGGTCCTTGTAGGTCATCTAGTCCAACCCCCTGCCCAAGCAGGGGACCCTACACCATTTCTGACAGAGGGCAGTCCAGTTTCTTCTTGGAAACCTCCAGTGATGAAGCTCCCACAATTTCCAAAGGCAACTTCTGTTCCATGGGTTGATTGTTCTCACTGTCAGAAAATTTCTCCTTATTTCCAGGTTGAATCTCTCCTTGATCAATTTCCATCCATTGTTCGTTGTCTGACCTTCAGGTGCCTTGGAAAATAGCTTGAATCCCCTCCTTTCTGTGGCAGCCCCTCAAATACTGGAAGACTGCTATCCTGTCTCCCCTGGTCCTTCTCTTCACCAGACTAGCCAAGCCCAAATCCTGTAACAGTTCTTCATATGTTTTAGTCTCCAGTCCCCTCATCATCCTGGTTGCTCTTCTCTGCACTCTTTCTAGAGTCTCGACATCTTTTTTTATAATGTGACCAAAACTGGATGCCGTACTCTAGGTGTGGTCTTACTAAGGCTTGATAGAATGGTATTAGTACCTCCCTTGATCTTGATTGTATCCCTCTGTTAATGCAACTTAGGATTGTGTTGGCTTTTTTGGCTGCTGCTGCACACGGCTGGCTCCTATTTAGCTGGTTGTCCACTAAGACTCCAAGATCCCTCTCACAGTTACTGCTATTGAGCCTGGTTTCACCCAGTCTATACTTTTGGCTTTTCTTGCCTAAGACATTAATTTTCTCTACATTTGAGTTTCATTTTTTGCATTGGCATGAAAGGAACTTGTCTGAAAAACAAGAAGGGTTTAAATGATTATCTGGAGTGTTGGGACACCACTTCATGTCTACCCCGAGAAGATCAGAGGTACAGATCTGAAATGTCAAATATTGTTGAAGTTATAAGACTAGGTTTATTTGTCGATAGTAAATATCTCCCGTGAGTTTTCTACAACATTCTTAGGGCTGGAAGGGAGTTCAGAGGTCTTCTCCTCCAAGCCCATGCTCTCGGGAGATGATACCATTCTGGTCAAATGGTTGTCCAATCCACTTCTGAAATCTGTCGGAGATGGAGATGCACCCACAACTCCATTGGCATGGCAAACTATTCCATTTGATTAATCGTTCTCATTGTCAGGAAGTTTCTTCGTTCCTTCTAAGTTGGATCTCTCTTTAACAAGCTTCTACCTGTTGCTTCTTGTCCTGCTCTTTGGTGCTTTGGAGAATAAGTCCATCCTTTCTTCCCTGAACTACTGGAAGACAGTTCTCACGCATCCTTCCTAATCCTTTGTGAAAACCTTGAGTCCCAATTCGAGAATCCTTTATTGGCCAAGTGATTGGACATACAAGGAATTTGCAAATGCTCTCAGTGTACATAAAAAGAAAAGATACATTTGTCAAGAGTCAAGAATCATCAGGTACAATTAATAATAGTCATAGGGTACAATGAGCAATCAAATCATACTAGGAAACAGTCAATATTAAACCAGAAGGATAAACGCGACAAAGTTACAGTCATACAGTCACAAGTGGGAGAGGATGGGCGATAAGGAGTGATGAGAAGATTAATAGTAATAGTAGTGCAAACTTTGCATAGCTCGGAGAAAGGGGTTGAACATTTTGGAGGTGGCATTCTTATTATATGGACCTTTATAAGTCTGCGTTGATAACACTTTTATTCTATTTTTTTCTGAGATTACATTGGTAACTCTGGATTCTTAAGATTTCAGAACATACGTTATACAGTAGATAAAGTTTAGGCTCAGGTGGTTTCAAGGCCATGTTGGCTGAGAATTCTAGGTTGCCACAAACCTTCTGGACACCTCTTGGTCCCGATAGAACAGAATATTTGTAGCTCACGGCTGAACGGTTGAGTCTTTGGTGCTCACTGAGCTTGGCGGGGTTTTCTTGCAGACATTCCATCACCCAACACTGATGATGTTCCCTAGTTGGGTCATGAAACGTCTGCAAGAACAACATCAAGCTTATAGGACACCAAGGACCCCACTCGTCTCAGTTTAGACAAACTGACATGGGCATCTGTTCTGCGGTTCCTATCAGCATCCTTGTTCTGACCCAAGTTTCATCAACATGATTAATCACAAACTTGTTTTAAAAGCAAAACCTATTTTATTGCAATGCTGGGAATTGTTTGCATTCGCAGCCAGAACTAATCTTAAACAGTTCCCCAAGATAAGCACACACCTTTCAGTGGTGTGGAATGCTGCCAGAAACAGAAGTATCCAATGAACTATAAAAGAAACCAACTGAAGTACAAGAAAAAAAATCAACCGGAGTGGCAAAGAGCTTCCAGGAGGACTCGCAACTGATCGAACTACTTTGCTTCCTGCAAAGGTTTCATCATTGAGGTCTTACTTTTATCCTTTATGGGAGGGGCAATCACCTCCCAGCCTTACTCCCGAGTCACCCCTTTTGTCTCAGCTGCCCTCGCCTTCTAGCAGCTCTGCGGACACGCGCACTGGGAATAGGCTCCCCTGGGTCCTCTGCCTCGCTGCTGCCAGGCTCCGGAGGCAGCACCCCGCTCCCAGATGGTCCTGGCCCCATCTCTGCACCAGACGCAGGACCCTCATCCGAGTCCTCTCCAGTTTCCCAGACTGGTCCCGTTTCTTCACCACTGTCAGATTCTGCTGCTGGCGAATCACAGCAATCCTCCTCTCTTTTGATTGATTGGGATCTCAAAGCTCTTCTCCATCCAGCATTCTCGATTCAGTGGAAAAATGCACCGGTCAATTTCTCTGCTTTCCAGCTGCTGCCACCGCCACCCCTCCTTCTACTTTCCTTCCAGTACACGCACTGCTTTAGTTAGGGCTTGGCTTCCTGCCACCCAGGCTGGGGAGTCCAATACCTCGCAGAACTGCCAGTTTAAATAATTCTATTACGATTCCCTCTAGAATTGGTCTCATTCTCTCTCTCTTTTCTCTTCTCTTGGTCTCTTTCCCTCCCTCTCCCTCTCCCTCCCTCCCTGGCATTTGAGATTTCTAATTGAAGGCAGGCAGGTTTCGTCTTGCTGCACCATCTCTTCCAGCGTTCCAAGTTGGACGTTTCTCCCCTTCTTTGCCTTCAGGAGTCAAGCCAGGTGAGCCCGCCAGCTACTTTTCCTCTTGCAGGGTTGAAAGTTTCTTTGGAAGCCCCCCTCCCTCTCCCCCACCCCCCACCGGAATATCTATTTTGCATTCTTCTTGGCTAAGCCTTGCGTTCCCCGTCGTTTCCCACCCACCCACCCAATCCCCTCTTCCTTGGAGTTCCCGAAGATTGTGTGGTTTTGCGTAGGATTTTCGGGACAGGAGAAGGGAAGTTTGAAGACGTCCAGCTGTTGGATAAGGACGCTGGAACGGCGGTTTAGAAGGGGATACCCTCATCTGTGACGCTGTTAGATTTCAGCTGTCTCCCACCCTTCGTAGCCGGGGTGGGCTGCGGAAAAAAAAATTGGCGGGGGTCTGTATCCAGGGAAGCCAATCCGTTGAGGAAACGAGGGGGAAAGACCTTGCATTCCTTAATTCCAGACAGAAATTGGGAGCGCGTCTGGTCAGATCGAATCTGAATTCTTGCAAGAGGAACGAATTGGCAGGACGTTCTGAGCCTATTTAATTGAGCCTTTGGGTCCACATCGCCCTAACAGAATGACAGAATTGGAAGAGGACTTTTTTTGGGGGGGTCTTCTAGTCCAGCCCCCCCTGCTCAAGCAGGAGACTGGAAGCTTTTCACAAAGAGTCTGGACTGCTGTCTGTCAACAATGGTGTATGGCCTGCTTGGGCAGGGGGGCGGGGTTGGACTAGATGACCTACAAGGTCCCTTCCTACTCTGTTAATCTGTACCCTATGCTATGAGGGATCCTATGAGGGCTCTCTAAGCTTGCTTGTTTTCCTTGCAGACATTTCATTACCCTAGCTAGGTAACATCTTCAGTGCTAGCATGATGATCTTACTTAGGGGTAATGAAATGAAAGAGAGAGAAAGAAAAAGAAAGTAAAAAAGAAAGAGGGAGGGAGGGAGAAAGAAAGAAAGAAAGAAAGAAGAAAAAAGAAAGAAGAAAAGAAGAGAAAAAGAAAAGAAAGAGAAGAAAGGAAAGGAAGGGAAAGGAAAGAAAAGAAGGGAAGGGAAAGGAAAGGAAAGAAAAAAAGGAAAGGAAGGGAAAGAAAAGAGAAAAAAGAGAAAAGAAAGGAAGGGAAGGGAAAGAGAGAGAAAAAAGAAAAGGAAGGAAGGAAAGAAAGAAAGAAAAAGAAAGAAAGAAAGAGCTTAGAGAGCACCCCCTCATTTTAACCCTAAGCTAAAACAATATTCTCTTTTATTGGTACCCTGTGTCATTGCAGACAAATGGTTGTCCAATCTCTTCTTAAAAACTTCCAGTGTTGGAGTATTTACAACTTCTGGAGGCCAGCAGTTCCCCTGATTAATTGTTCTCACTGTCAGGAAATTTCTCCTAAGTTCTAAGTTGCTTCTCTCCTTGATTAGTTTCCACCCATTATTTCTTGTCCTGCCTTCAGGTGCTTTGGAGAATAGCTTGACTGCCTCTTCTTTGGGGCAGCCCCTGAGATATTGGAAGACTGCTATCATGTCACCCCCACTCCTACTTTTCATAAGACTAGACATACCCAATTCCTGCAGCCGTAGTTTGAAACAGATTCTCAGATGTTGATGCACGGAGTGTGTCACACACCAGGTTCCACTTTGGAAAAAACTTGAGCAAAAAAGCATGGTCTTTACTAAAAATATATATTAAAAAATAGCTGAGATACCAAAGCAGATTTTGGCAGATGTGATGCAATCGCTATAAAAGATGCCACTGCTTGGTGAGTTCTGGACTTTCTGCGTATAGTCAAAAAGCTAGAGATTGTCCCCATTGCTGTGGGGTCTTTATAGGAGGTCTTCTATTGGGATGTTCAGCTTTTGAACGTTTTGTTTCTGTTTCACCAAGAAAACTAGGCTGGCTTTGAAGCGCGTGTTTCTGTTTCCCACCATTAGCAAAACCTCTGTGGAAACCAGGAGGGAATTAAAAGTGTTAAAAAGAAAGAAGACGAAACAGTGAAGTGATAAAAGCCCCCAGATACCATCAGCTCCTCTTGTCCAAAGATTCTCCTGGAATCTGAAATTCAGCTTCTGGAATTCCCCCAAACAATAACCATGGCTGAGAAATCTGGAGATTGAATACCCTGGCTATCTGGATAGAGTACATTAAGCAAGATTCAGTGCCAAGCAACAGAGTGGTCAGTGTTTGAAATACTCTACCTCAGGGGTCCCCAACCACCGGTACCGGGCCGTGGATCATTTTTTACCGGGCCGCAAAGCTTGGGCGCCGCCATCTTGTTTCGACGGCACTTCCGGGGTTTCGGTTGCTTCTTGGTTTTCGGTTGGAAAATGGCGTTTGGGTGCTCGCGCCTTAGTTTCGTCGAAGAGGGGGGGGGGGCTTCGAACGAAGAGCCGTCCCGATGGCGATGGAGTCTCGCGTTACTCAGGTATCGGTCCGTGGAAGAATAAATAATCGTGAAACCGGTCCCTGGTTCAAAAAAGGTTGGGGGCCACTGCTCTACCTGACTCTGGTTTCTTCCCCAAACCCTAAAACCCAAAAACTTTAACCTTAGACTGTCTATTATTGACCTCACCCTTTTCCTAAGAGGCCTGTACGGGGGGTGGGGCAGGTGTGCATACGCACACTAATCGTGCCTACCGTCCCTGTCCTATTGTTATTTTTCTTATAAGTATCTATCTCATGTATTCAAAACTATATTTCTTCTTATACCTGTATCTTGTAAGCGATTGACGAATCAAATAAATACAAAAAAAAAAATACTTATCTCCTTAACTAAGGTCTTAAACCAGGGATGTCCCAACCTTGGCAACTTTTAAAGATTTGTGGGCTTCAGCTCCCAGAATTCCCCAGCCTGGGTGTGAAAGTCCACAAGTCTTAAAGTTGCAGAGATTGGACACTCTTGGTTTAAGCCACGAGTGTCAAACTCAATTTCATTGAGGGCCGCATCAGGGTTGTGTTTGACCGTGGGGGGGGGGGAAGGGGGGGCGGGGCGGGTGGGGCGGGGGTATGGCCTCTGGTGGCCTGAGCCATTCTGCCAGTGATAACGGGCTCCCGAGCTCTGTTTTCGGCTATGACGGCTTCTGGCAACCCTCTGCCAGCAAAAAAACGGAGCTAAGGAAGGCCGCGGGCGGCCCCATCCCCAAGCAGAAGCACCACAGGACAGTCCTTTTGCTGTTTCCACGGTTGCCCGACGGGCCAGATCTAAGCACTTTGCGGGCCAGATCTGGCCCCCCGGGGCCATGGGGTTGACCCCCCCGGGTTTAAGCCATCGGGGGGGGGGGGGGGGGGGAAAACCCACTCCAGTTGCCTTTTGAAAAAAAAAAAAGCACCTTTGATACTTTGGTTGTAGGATTTGGGAAGAGTAAAACTGTTGTAATTCAAGGACTGTTAGAATCAGAATAGAGCTGGATGGGACCTTGGAGGTCATCCAGTCCAGCCCTCTGCTCAAGCAGGAGATCCTATACTATTTCAGACAAGTGCCTGTCTAGTCTCTTCTTAAAAGCCTCCAGTGATGAAGCACCCACAATGTCTGGTGGCAAGCTGTTCCACTGGTTAATTGTCCTCCCTGTTCGGAAGTTTCTCCTGAATTCCAGGTTGCTTCTCTCCTTGATTAGTTTCCATCCATTGTTTCTTGTTCTGCCCTGAGGGGCTTTGGAAAATAAGTTGATTCCCTCCTCTTTGTGGCAGTCACTCAAATATTGGAATATTGCTATCATTTTAGCTCTAGTCCTTCTATTGTCTAGACTGGCTATACTCAATTCAAATTCAGAATAGAGCTGGAAGGGACCTGGAAGGGGTCTTCTAGTCCAGGGGTCGCCAACCTTTTGGACCTCAGGGACCACCAAACTCATAATTTTAAATCCCAGGGACCACTAAACGGTTCTGTGGGCGTGGCCAAATTGGTGGGTGTGGCTTGGTGGTCATGTGACTGGCTGGGCATGGCTTGTATGTAAATATTATAAATATATAAATATTGATTTTTTTTAATTAAAAACAGCAACAATTTTTACCCAAAATCAGGCAAACCAGGTAGGCAGATTTAATTGCTCACAGAATCACAGATTCATTCAGTTGATCTATCTATCTGCCATTGGCGACCTGAGTCTGTCACATAAAATTTGCTTGCCATGAGTCTGCACTGAATAATAGAACCTTCAGTCCTAAGGGAGGTTCGGCTCTGCTTAAAAGCCATTTCCTGCTTTCTAGCTAATCTCAATCTCCCAGCACAGCAGAACAGCTGATGGTCGGAAAAAGGAAAAATAGCAATTTAGCAGGCAAGTTTACCGGGTAAGGAGTGAGTGGGCAGGGAGGATTCCCATGGGCCATGTGGGCGGCGCAGTTTTGTGTTTCTGCGCAGCCTGGATTAATTGCTTTTGGGGGGGGGGTGCTCTGGGGGTGAGATTTCTCTGCAGCTCACCAGAAATTTCTCGTGGCCCACCACTGGGCTGTGGCCCACCGGTTGGCAACTGTTGTTCTAGTCTAACCCCCCCCTCCCCCCGTTTAAGCAAGATAGCGAACCTATGCCACAGGTGCCGGAAGTGGCACGCAGAGCCATTTCCCCCAGCACGCGAGAGCTCGCCTGGAAGAGCCCCACTGCATATGCGTGCGCTGCCACCGCCCGAAAGCTGGTTGTTGGGTATCTGGCATGAATGCGTGGGGGGGGGGGGTTGCGCAGAGGGATTGCATATGAATGCGTAAATGGATGACGCGCAGGAGTGATCATGTGTAGGAGCATGCATGCCGCAAGGGGAATTGCTCACACCGCTGCGAGGGGATCGCGTGCGCAGGAGGGGGAGCACGCATTGCCTTCTGGATGCTGGCATGCGAGCGGAAATGCACAAGCGCCCGCTCAATTATCGGCAAGGGGGCCAAAAAAGGTTTGCCACCAGTGCCCTATTCGTTTCCTTTCAGTCCTCAACTTTGGGTCACAGGATAACACCATCTACCGTGGGTCGCTGGCTTAGAGCCTGTATTGCAAAAAGGCCTTTGAGTTACTGGCTCTTCCTATGCCCATGAGAATCACTGCGCACTCAACCGGGAGTGTGGCAACCATTGCAGCCTGGGCAAGGCAGGCTTCAGTTCTGGACTTTCGTAGAGCTGCGCCTTGGTCATCTGTGACCGCGATTCATAAGACGTTATAAAATTGATTCCTTTGCCTCAGCAGAGGTGTCCTTTGGAAGACGAGTCCTGCAGGGCAATGGCCCCCAACCTTTTCTGTGCCGCGGCCCGGTACCGGCATCACAAAATGATCCGCGGCCCGGTACCGGCATCAGCACACATGACAAGGCAAGGCGAGCGACCGGCCAGCCAGCTGTCCCCTGCTTCTCCCCGCCACCTTCAACTCCTCCTTTGTACCTTTGTCGATGGGCTTCGCTTCAGGAGGGCTTCGAGACGGTCGCTCGGCTCGCCTTGCCTTGGGTCCTGAAAGAATCCTCGTACCTTAGTTTCGTTCAGAGCCCCGCCCTTCGATGAAACTAAGGCGCAAGGATTCCTTCAGGACCCAAACGCCACTTTCCAACCGGAAAAGCTCACCTGGAAGCACTTTCTCGTCAAAGAAGATGGCGGCGCCCAGCAAACAGGCGGCCCGGTAGGAAATGTTCCACGGACCGGTACCGGTCCACGGCCCAGTGGTTGGGGACCCCTGCTGCAGGGCATTCATGTAGAAGTGGGGACCTCTGACCAATCCAGTTCCCTCCGATAGGACAGCCATCAGCCAGCTTTGGTATGTCCCATCCTGGATTCTCCCTTCGGCTCAGTGGAGAAGGGGCGTTGGTCCTACCTGAA